TGGCCGTTTGTCTATGAATCATTTATGACTGGTTTAAAAATTAATTACAGTCCTGTCAATTTTAATTTAACAAAAAGAACCGATGTTTCAAAAATCTCTTTCACCAAAAATTCTGTAACTTCAATTCAATCAAAAATCCAACGTTTCAAATCGTCGTTGGAAACTCGTCGATTTTTCACCGTTACGACCACGTTCACGCGAACACGCACTTGGACGTCCCGGCGGAGGGAGCGGCGCGGTGGTTCAATCAGCAGGCGGAACGATTAGCGCGCGCGCGGATCGATAAATCGCGAGCGTTTACGGCGGCGTAACACGCGAGCATGCCCGAACGCAGCAATTTCTCTGGGAACAGGCAGAGCCAAGGTTGACGTAACGAGATCCGCAAAAACCGTTCCGCGGCGACCTAGCGCACCGGCGACGACGATTCCGTTTCTAAATATAAGACGATTCAACCTCTCCCACGTATTTCGATCGCTTGCACAAGGGCTCCGGCATTCCCGAGGGTCCGGAACAATTCGGAAATCGCCGCGCCGCCGGGCCGAGCCGTCCGCGGACGGCCGCGTGACGTCACGCGGCTCGCGAGAATGGCCGCGTGACGTCACGCGGCTCCCGATCGGCTCGAACCCGGGCGGCGAGGTTCCCGAGCGCCGGCCGACTAGGAACGAACCTCGACGCTCCGAACGGAGAGATTCGCGGCCCGGTGAAACGGAGCCGCACAGCAGGTGGAGGCTTCTAAGACGCGCGTCAAAGCAGAACTGCCCCAGTTCCATCGCATTACAGCTATTATATTCCGCGCGGCAGCATCCGTACGTGTGTGCACGCATGAGCTCTGCGAGCTCCGTGCGTCGCGTGGCTGCGTGGTGGGACCGATTCGGAGGGCCGGACTTATTAATACCGATGTAATTATTCGCTTGGGGGGGGGGGGGGGGGTCGCNTTCTTTTTTTGGGGGGGGGGGGGGGGGGGGGAGTGCCGACAATTTCGATGACCTTCGGTTATCCTGGCGGGCTCCGGAACGACTACAGGGTCGAAGTAACTGTGCACATATGTACATTTTTATTTACATTCTCTTTGATTTTTGTCCTTGATCTTTTTGTTATTATTGTCATTCCATTATTATTATTATCATTATCGTTACTATGATTATAATAATAATTATAAATATTCGTCGAAAATTAAGAGGAGATCTGGCTCGCTAAATAAATAAATATATCACGATTTTATGTGTTTACACGTATTTGTTTATGTATGTGTTGTTTATTTATACACTGCTCTGAAAGATTATATCGTACAAAAATTTTAGGTAAAAATTGGCCAACTTTGACCGACGATAACTCCGCGGAAAGTTATCGTAGGATGATGACTCTGCTTTTAAGTTAAAGCTTGAAACCTCTACTTTCAGAAAATGTTACTCGATTTTAAGTTTGACGAACTTGGTCTACCGTAACCCTTTAAATGTGAGATCCTGTTTGTCATATTGAAAACCGTCAAGTTTGAAAAAATGCACGGACATTATAAAATTTTTTCCGGGGATGCTGCTTGCAGAGGGACATATTTTGATCCTTTACCTTTCATCTAAAAAACTAAGAAACGTGGCTGCGATTTTTTTCGTCAAGTTACAGCATTCTAGAGTGACCCTTGTCAAGTCTAACTTTGCGAAAAAAAATCGCAGCCGCGTTCCTCTTTTTTTAAATTGAAGGGGAAGAATCAAGTTTCATTTCGCCGTGAACGGAATCTCCGAAAAAAATTTTACAAAGTCCGTACATTTTTTCGAAAGTGACGGTTTTCAATATGACAGACACGGACCCGTATTTAAAAAATTACAGTGGCGAAGGTGCATCGAACTTGAAATCTAGAAACGGTGCCTGAAAGTAGAGCTTTCGAGCTTTAATTTGAAAAAAAGATCATCGTCCTACGATGATATCTCGCGGAATTATCGTCGGTCAAAGTTGATCAATTCTTATCGAAAATTTTCCAACGTTGTAATAATTTCTCAGCGATGCTTTTTGTTTCAGTCTGAGAAACTTCGATAAGGAAAATCCTCGATTCCCGTAATAGGTCAGATCAGCAAGCGAACGCGTGCTCCGCGCAGGATGTTTAAATTCGATTTCCAGGAAAGCCGAACTTCCAAGTGAACCGCACGCTCGGCTTTCGATTTATTTTTGCATAAAGTGAATCACTTCCTGCATCGCTCCTGCCGCAGCAGCTTCTTATCGCGGCACGTAAATAGGAATTTCAGTCAAACCTCGAGTATGCGAGAGATAAAAAGAATAACGCTGGTGTCTCAGTGGCGTCTTCCTTGTATCGATTACCGTTATCGCGGGAATAATGGGACGAACACGCGATAATGAAATTGGAACGTGACTCAGGCGATAATTCTGCGGCGAGAGAGCATTTCTTAGGTCATCTTTGCGATTTTTTTGCTGGGGAACCAACGACTATTTCGCGTCAGCATTTCGCGGACATTTTTCGGCAATCCTTGCTGTAGAAAGTCTATTTTTCTTCGTTCGAAAATATTCAAAATTCTCGGCGTTACAATTTTCGAAACACAGACTGGTTGAAAATGACTGTCGCATTGAGCGACGTAATTTTAATTGTTCGGCTAATCGGAGGCGAAAAGCAATTTACCATTTTCAAAAGAACATATTCAGCTAATGTTTCTGCCAAGATTGATGAATTATCTCGGTGTTTAACGAAATGGCGGTGCTTCGAAGCGAAGGCTTCGCTTTTGTGCATTTTTTCACAATCTTTGCGTATAAAAAGTTAATAAAAATTCAGATTTATTGGTAATTATGGTTGGAATCGATAGCGACGAGTCCAGTGAAGATTTTTTCTAAGTGTGAGGTCAATCGGATCGCTAGATCCTGAGATATCATGTAATATACAGCGAAACGTATGGCTCCGAGAGAAACTCGTCTTTTTTACGAATTTAGGAAAATCCTTTCGCAGGCGCATAATACGTATAATATTAACATAAAATTAAATTATTGCATAAAAAAATATCCATATTTTATATAAATACTAAATAATTTTTTTAAAAATATTTTTCAATACTTAAAAGATATTAGAAAATATTTAGAAGATTTAAAAAAATATCTTAAAAGTGTAAAAAAATATTTAAAAAATGTAGAAAAATGTTTGAAGAATATTAAAAAATATTTGAAGAATATTAAAAAAATATTAAAAAAATATTTTAAAAATATTAAAAAATATTAAGGAATTGTTTCCGATGCTGAAAATCAGGACGCTTCTTTAATTTCTCTTGCACGTGACAGAGCGCGTCTGGAATTGTTTCGAGCCGTAAAAACAGATTGATACGGGAGATATCGAAATTGGAATGCGAGTGCACTGATAACGTCGAAGAAGTTTCGCGAGCCGTCCCTGCGCACGGCGAACGAAAAACGCTCTCTCGCCATGCCGAAAAAGGAGCAGGCCGGAGCGGATCGGATGCGATTAATCATAAATTTGGACGTTGCGTCATGTTGCGCCGTCGGGCCGGCTCGGAAGTGCAGCCGACGACCGGACGATTACGTCGATTCTTCTGGGTAAAGATGCCGGATAGCCGTTCGTGTCATCGTCGGCTTGTTTCCCATTAATTTACCGCGTGACAGTTGCCGTAACGCTTTTACATGAATCGCGACCCGATTCCACGATATCGATCAGATTCTTTATAAAAAGAAATGCGGGCGCCGTGGACGCGCCATTTAATTTCGAAAGCATCCGTCGCTGGTCTGCCCATTATTATGCATTTTCTTGGGAAAAATTAAGCGGAGATGCCGTTATATTATTTTCAATTTGTTACGTTATTTTCAAATTTGTCACATTATTTTGAATTCGTTACACTGTGCCATTATTTTCAATTTGGGACGTTATTCTCAATTCGTTACATTCTTTTCAATTCATTACATGACCTTCAATTTGTTACATTACTTTC